AGGTACCCACCTCACCAAGACAGCATGAAGGGGACCATGCTCTCACCCACAGACCCCTGAGCAACCAACCCAGCCCTCAGCATGATGCCAAGGATAGAGAGAGGACAAAGGGCATATGGAAGAGCATTGGTTGTGGGACCAGCCTTCCCTAGAAGCCAGTAATTGCTGCACCAGCCATTGGCTTTTACAAGCTGGCAAAAGCTGTCAGTCCCATTTTGCCTGTTGACACATCTGTCCCAGGTGAACAGCATGGAGATTTGGAAGCCAGGAGAGGTTCAGAAGGTCCCACTCACTCCTGTCACCTAGAGGAGGATGAAAAGAGTGCGTCATCTCCAGACTCACTTTCCAAGGGAGCTGAACAGGCAGCCCACTGCCCCACTGGGGAGGCTCCAGTGCCCTGCACAGAATAGAGCTGTGTCATCACTCCATCACCACAGCAGGCATCACATATCTTCTTCTTTTTGAGTTAAATGAGTAATACCAGGAGCTATGCATGGGAGAGGCACCCACAAGAGGGGTGGCTCGGGCCTCAGGGAGTTCCCAGGCTCAGCTGAAACAAGCCACAGCTGGCCTGAGTGGTGACAGTCCCAACACAGCCTAGCTGGGCTACGGACTTCCCTCCCCCACCCCCTCACCCCAGCTGAAATTCAGTGTATTTTGGGTAACAACACTGCATCTGACCAGAAAAAAAAAAAAAATCCTATATTGACTTAATACAGAGATTCTTTGCCTAGAGTACCTTCATTCCCCCATCCCAAGGAGGAGTGGAAGGTCCGTGACAAAACCCGTGAGTGTTTTTTCCACTGTCCCAAGCCGCAACCTGCTGTTGAGCTCCTGCTGGAGGAAGTGTCCTGGTTTCCTGTGCTCAGATCTCGGATGCCACCTCCTGGCTTTCCCACTGTACTGTCGTGACTCAGCCCAGACCGGGAGCACCTTTCCCATCTCACTATCCCAAATACCAACGCAGTGTAAAGCTTTAATGGTTCAGAGCAGCTTTTGTTCTTTGAGGATCTGGCCCGATCCCACGTATTTTTTTAACTGGGATGGAGGTAACTCCTGTATCTAATAACCCTCAGGATTCCCATTGCAGCAGCACCTTGACTCCCAAGACACCTCTGGGATGTCATCCATCACTTTGGGGGTGGGACTGGTACCTCACCTTTCCCCAGCATCTATTTTGTCCCTACAAACTTACATGATCCCTGTGCCATCCGTTGTTTATCATCTGCATCTTTCCATGGTGGATTGGGATGCCATTTTCAAATCTCTACAGTCTTCTTGCTAGGTTGGAAAATAATTTGACAAGCAGATGGATGGCAGGGAGGTAATAGTCTCTGTCTGCCCGACGGACCAACAACTGGGAGGTCATCAGAGGTATTCAAAATGGTCTTCAGCCACGACAAGGCTTCAGCCCAGGAGAGGATGGGTGGAAAGGAAATGTTGACAGCGGCTCCTCTCCCTGCACTGCCGGTGCAGACCAGCAGGTGGGAGTTGCTGGGGTTTGATATTTTACAAAAAATAGTTCTTCACTGCATTTCCCGTAGAAATGGGCTAAAGGCACAGACCGTGCACCTGCATGACTCACCTGCATCTGGGGACCCTTAACCACCAGCAAAGGTGTGTGGGACCACAAGGGGAGCACAGCACTGCAGGGTGCTCTGACCTTGGGGACAGGAGCCCCTGTGAGCAGCACGTCCCTGGATGAATGCTGGTGTTGATGTGAATCCCTTCCTACCTCTCTGGTTGCAGCAGGAACTGAGTTTTGGATTTGCCCCCCCTGCACATGCCCTGGCTGGCTGTGAGTGTGTCTGATCAACTTCAACAGGAGCAGCTTATCCAGCACAGCTGTGCTGAGAGGCCCTTTTGTGTCACAGCAGCTGGATTTTCTATTCCCAAAGTGCTCCTTGCTGCAGTGCCCCAACCATTCTGTGGCAGAGCACATCATGTTCAGGAGAAAACAGCCTGAAAGAGCCCAGATTGACTTATCTTTTGTCCCACCTTCAAAACAAGGAAAAGAGGAGGAAGTTTCTGTAAAAGGAAAGTATGCCCAGAGCAGCCTTTTTCCCTATATTTCTTCCAACTCCAATGGCAGCTTCCTTACTCCCTGGTCAGTTTGTCCTACAGCCACTGGCCAACGGGTCTGGGCAGCACAAGGACCAAAGGTGCCATGACCTGATCCCTTTTTCCCAGTGATGTTACCAGCCTGCACCCCATTCAGAGCTTCCCTGCACCCCAGAGCTTCATCTTGTCTGGGGAGATGGACACTTTGGGGACATTCTCAGTATAGGAAGGACATTGATCTGCTGGAGACAGTCCAGAGGAGGCCACCAAGATGATCAGAGGAGCACCTCTGCTGTGAGGAAAGGCTGAGAGAACTGGGATTGTTCAGCCTGGAGAAGCTTCAGGGTGACCTAATTGTAGTTCTCCAGTGCCTGAAGGGAGCCAACAAGAAATATGGAGAGAGACTATTTACAAGAGCCTAGAGTGACAGGACAAGGGGGAATGGCTTCCCACTGCCAGAGGGCAGGGTTAGATGGGATATTGGAAAGAGATTCCTGCCTGTGAGGGTGGTGAAGCTCTGGCACAGATTGCCCAGAGAAGCTGTGGCTGTCCCATCCCTGGAAGTGTTCAAGGTCAGGCTGGACAGGGCTTGGACCAACTCAGTCTAGGAAGGAGTCCCTGACCACGGCAGGGGGTTAGAACTGGATGATCTTCAAAGGTCCTCTTCACACTCAAAATATTCTGTGATTCTACTCCCTGAATTCTGAGGACATTCCCTGTCCCCAAATCACTGCCCAAAAGCATTCCTTTGAGCAGGACCCCAGTGGGAGCAGCCAGGGAGAGGCAGGGGCATTGCACTCCTGGCTGGGCCGAGGCAGCAAGTAAGGACACTCATGTGTACCCACACGCCTGTGCCAGCCCCACTCTGGCTGGGGAGGGGACACCAGGAACCCTTAGAGCAGACGTGACCTACTTTAGCTCCAAGGCGAGATGCGTTGAGCAGGTCCCAGTGTAAAAGCTTAATAGAACCAGATGTAAATTATTCATGGCCTGGCCATACTAATGCATGTGCTAAAGGCTTTTTTTTTTTTTTAAAAAAACTCAGAAAAAAATCTGCTCTATAATTTAAAGCCTCACATGCTCCCATCACCAGGCCCCGCTGCTCTCTGGAGTGTTTCTGCTCAGGTGAGCAGAGCTGCAAGATGTGGACAGACCCAGCAGGGAAGAGCTGGCCTGCTGGAGCTGGGATTGGGGCAGGAGCTGGGATGGCGAGAATCTCATGGGGAAGGGTCTGGCAGTGCTGCTCTGGTCTGGCAGCCCATGGCCCCACAGCAAGTCACTTCCCGCAGCAGCAGCACTCGGCCGAGCCCATTCACAGGCACGGTGGCCAGCGGGGCTATTTTTAGAACTGCCTTTTGCTTTTTCTGATTTCTTTTTTCTTTTCTCCTTGCTTTTGCTCAGCGCTACCCTCAAAGCCCTGGGGAGAGGGGAAAACACTGATCCCTGGGGCGGGAAGCTGCGTGGGAGGGCTTTGGAGCACCCACGGCAGGGACTCAGGGAGCTGAGCCACAGGGACTCCTTGGACACAGTGGGGAGACCCCCAGGACGCCCCACAGGGACAACCACCCCCTGCCCTACAACTGTCATTCCCAGGGCTGCTCGGGTGGGTTTGGATAAAGCCACAGGAGGATTGGGGCAGCCCAGGCCAGGGTGTCCCTGCCCCAGAGCAGGAACAGGCAGGCCAGGGCGATGATCCAGCCGTGGAGGACATTTGCCTTCTATGGGCATCTCCTTGCTGCACTGCTGGCACGAAGGAGAGGCCCTCAGCCTCCCCAGAAGCTGGGAGGGGGAATAAAAACACCCAAAAAAAGCTCAGGGCTGCCCTCTCAGAGGCCTCCAGCAGAGCTCAGCAACAACACCCCCTCCAACATACGCCAGCAAGGACTTGCCCTTCTCTGAGAGGGAAGAGGCTATCTGATGGTCCAAAGCAGCAGCCCAAAACAGCCCCCCATCCTTCCACAGAGGGAAATGGAAGTGGGGAGGGGACAAGCTGTGGGTAACACCAAGCATGAAGCATCCCACCCCAACCCCACAAGAAAACACACGAGACCAGAGAAAGAGTCACAGCATCCTGTGGGTACATATTTTTTCTTTTTTCTTTTTTTTTTTTTTTTTTTGGTTGCATTTCATATATTATCCAGTTTCACATTCTCATAGGATCAGCAATTATAGAGCAACTTATTCTCAAATCTTTTAATACAAGCGAGACAGCCATGGTCAGATAATACTTAAAGCACTTCAATACCAAGCAATAAGATGCTAAAACAAAAATTGCACAAGTTCTTGTTTACTATGCCTGACTGAATCATTGGTACAGAAGACAACCCTTCTCTTTCAAGCTTTTAACTAAACATTAACTTATCTTACAGGATTACAATTTCTCTTTAATAATAATAATTAATTGCACACAAACACACAAGTAATTCTTTATGATGCATAAATATTTCCTTATTACATATGGTACAAAAATACTCGTACTTTTTTTTTTTTGTTCGGTATTCCCAGAAGGATGGCTGATTATTTGGCAGGAGTAGATGGTCTCCAAGTAGAAGGATGTGGAAAACAAAAAAGATGCTAGATATTTTACAGCCGTTCTATATATAGAAGTTTGAATAAGGAAAAAAAAATAAAATAATAACCCTGACTTTAAAACGGGAGCAAAATGGATGAGAACAGAAACCCAGTGCATTGTACTTTGAGGGCAGGGGCGGGGGGGGGGGGGGGGGGAGAAAAGAAAAAAAAGGCGTTTTTCAAATTTTTCTGGTCGTCCTGGGGAGGGTAGGGTAGAGGCAGGAGAAGGGGTGAGACAAGGACAGTTAGTATTTCTCAAAGCCAAGTCTTCACCAGAGCAAGAAGAAAACCTTGATGGATCAATCCGTTGGGCCTGTTGCTAACGGTTACACAAACGCTAGAACAAACAAACTTACACTCACACAGACACAAGTTAAGTGTTTTAATTCATGCCAGAAAACATGCAAAACCCATTTTGCCTTTCAATTCCTTCAGCCGAGCAGCCCCCCAGGGCAGGGCGAGCCTGGGGAAGCCCAGGACCGAGCCCCCCAGGCTGGGTTTCGGCTAGCAGCCGGCCAGCGAAGCTCAGTCAGGGAGGATGTCCTGGGGATGGACCGAGGGAAGGATGGAGGGAGAGGGATGGAGGCGGCGCACAGCCCCACGGCTGGGGCCACGGCGACTTCACAGTCCGGGGAAAGGGGTGCCCCACAGTCTGGAGGGAGAGTGGCGGGCCCAGGCGCCTTGTCCGCTGGCCGCAAACCAGACTGAGAGGAGTTGGAGCGATCGTCCCTGGCACATCCCTCCGCGGAGAGGCAGGTGGGAGGAACACGAGTCGAGGAGAGACACTGAGGGAGAGGAGTGGCCGTGAGCGAGGGGGGCTGGCTGGATCCGCCCCCTGAGCGGCACCACGGCCCCCTCCCTACCCCAAAGCTCACTGGGTCCCCCGGGTCCCCCTGCTCCCACAACCCATCCCTGAAACACAACCGCATCCTTGGTGGATGTGGGGGACTGAGCTCGAGCTCCCATCCCTCCTCCCGCACAACAGCCCAAGGAAGAGCAAGACAAGGACCTGGCTCCAGGAGTAATTAATTACTTACTAACGAACTAACAAAACTGACGAGACTTCCATCCTTGCTGGGTAGCTTCAGAGGGAGGATACCAGCGCATCTGGAAAAGAAATCCATGGCAGAGGTCCATGATCCAGGATTATCTCAACGAGAGTACAAACCTTCAGCTCCTTCAAGCCATGTGCAAAGTCTGTGAACCAAAGATGTCTCCAGTACAGGAAAGGAGGCTCCAGGTTAGAGCCCCAAATACTATTTGAGTAGCATCTCACCCTGGGGCTGTACCATGCTAGTACAGCCCAGCGTGCCATCCCCATCCTGGCCAGCTCTGGTGGCACTGGGACCTGGCCAGGTCCTCCCTGAAGGAGCATGGCAGGATCCCACATGTCCAAGAAGGAAGCCAGCAGTCCATCTCAGGGCTTGCCTCAACAATTTGAGCACTCTTTGTCTGTTGGCATAACGAGAAGACAGCCCCAAAATCCACATCCACACCCGGCCTCCGCTCACTACAGCACACCACCCTTCATGCATGGGAAGCTCCTCACCACCAAGCTATCCATGCAGTTCACTACTACAGAAGCAGGCACAAAGAGGGACTCTTCACCCCCAGAAAACTCCTACTCCCCCCCACACACACACTCCAACTTTGCTTCTTTCCCCCTGTTCAGCCTCAAGCGAGGCAGAGGGGGCTCACTTTGGGCATGCAGCACCCCAAGGTGGTGGCAGCTCCACCCTCAGCCAGTCAAAGGAGGCATCTTAGACTACATATTAAAACCAGGCAACCTCTGCATGGCATGGGTAAGAAGTGGTTCATCCACCACAGCAAGACTCAGAGTCACAACTCAGCCACCAGAACAAGCTCCAGGCAAACCACATCATGGGAAGAACCTAATAGAGCTCCAAATCAGCAAGACTTGGAGGCTTCCTGGGCAGGTCCTTGCTGCTACTTGTATTGCTCAGACCTACTTCTTGCCAAGGAAGGAGCTGGATGGGGCCTCAACAAGCAGACAAGGGACAGTAACTGAACAGACACTTTCCAGGCCATCAAGAGACACAGAAAAACTGGCAACATCCAGCGGCATGAGACATCCAGATGCTCCCGCTGGTTGTCAGGCTGGGCTGTGTTACCAGGCCCATGCCTGGGAGTAGCAGGAGATGAGCCCATGCCACCTGATTGAGCACAGATCCAGCAGTGGGAGCAGTGAGTGGAGTTCCATCCTGCTGGTGGTTGCAAAGGGAGCTGGAGCACAACAGCAATCCCATGCTCCTCCCTTCCTAGCAGGGGAGCACAGCTTGGTACATTCAGGGCTCTGGGAACCAGCAGAACAATGGACTTGGCTCTAAGATGGGGAGAAAAGTGGCAGAAACCCCCCTTTAAGGTCCCTTCCAACCCAAACCATTCTATGGTTCCATAACCTGCTGGATTCTTGCCAGGCACCTTCACAAGGCAAGTGGGTGCCACACTAAATCAGCTCCCAGCTGGCCCCATACCTCCCTCATACAACAGCAGCCAAGTGCATACCAGTCAGTCCAGCCTTGACACGAACATTACTAAAGCCTTCCTCCCCAGTGAAGGGCTCCCACCCAGTGCCAGGACCAAAGTGCTGTCTTGGTGACATATCCAGCCTGTTTTCACTTCTCCATTAGCCTGGGAGAGGGACCCTTGCTGCCCAGTCAGGGCCACCATGCTGCAGTAGACACTGCTGTCCCCTTGCACTGACATCACGAGGTAGGCTCAGAGTGGGCAGCAGCACCACAAACAACTTACAGGGCCACCACAACAGCTGCCAGAGCAAGGACAGGGGTTACTTGCTCCCCCCAAGCCCTGTCACCAGGAGGTGCTTGCTTAGCAGAGCCACATTTCCTCGGCAGCCAGCAGCTGTCATCCCTAGCTAGTGTCTCCCACTCCAGCACTCCTCCCCTCAACAGCTGGAAGCAGTTTCCTTCTGCCCAGCAGCAACAGGAAACTCCCCCTTCGTTCACAAGGCTGCAAGTGCTTAACCCCAAGAGCCACCTCTGTCCCACGCTGGGCTCGGCTGAGCAGCAGGGCCATGTGTGAGCTAGCACAGCCCACTCCACTCCCTCAGCCTGGTGGCCCTACAGCCTCTCCTCAGGCATCTTAACCTACCTTCTGCCCCATGTGCAGAGCCTCAGCACCTTCAGTTTCAATAGAAATCCTGCTTTTCTCTTAGAACACACACTGTTCACAGCTCTAGCACTAATAAACCTCCAGTGCTGAAGGACACCTCACATTCCTCCTGTAGGTCCTCCAGTGCTCACACGCCAAACCCACACAGCCTGACCCACCATGGCCCCATGGACCACCAGCCCAGCCCTGTATCCAGAGGGGCTCAGCCCGGAGCCCGGCAGGAGCTCCTGCAGACGCGACAATCCTGGGTATAGTCCAAGGCTCTGACATGCTGTCAGGGCAAGGGAATGACCTGCCAGGTCTTTCAGCCCACAGAAAGATTAAGGGCTTGATGGGATGAGGCAGGAACTCACTAGGAGGGATGTTTCTGAAGGCAGCAGAAAGCACTGGAAGCAGCAGATCAGAGGCAGTAGCCAGCCAAGAGGACACGCTCTTTAGGCACCTGCCAAGGCAGTTTTCTCTTCACACCCCTCAAAATACTACACTTGTCAAGGAGGAAGCTGAGAAAGAATAGAGATGTCCAGCACTGGGTGAGGAAAGCAGAGCAAGGGAGGTTTTCACTGGAAGTAAAAACAGTTGTTTCTGGAGAGGCATTAGCTCACAGTTAGAAAGGAGGCTGGTCACACCGCTGAAACATCTCCTGCTCGCTCACCTGTAGGGACAAGGCAGAAACCACCAGCTGACTGCAACAGCCTCATGCTGCCACCTTCAACATCTGTCCCAGAAAAGAGCTGGAGAGGAGAAATGTGTATCTCTACCTGCCACCTTCCAGAGGCCACCCCTCACTTGCTGCAGCACAACACCAGCAGCTGCCTAAAAGTCACAAAGAAATGATAAATGGGGTAGAGGAACACCACATCAGCACTTCACTCTCCTTGCCAAGACCTCCTTTGTCTCTCCCAATTACCCTTAGAATTTAAATATCCGATTGCCTACCATTCTCATGGAGAGCAATTCCTCCAGAGGGAAAAAGAGAGGGAAAGGAATAAATATACAGGTCCATCTATCCTCAGGCCACCTTCTATTTGGAGGACTTGCCTTTGCAGGCAGCCCCAGCAGCTCTTGGAGCTCTGAGCTATCTCTGCAGCTAGAATGGTCCCATGGACCAGAAAGGCTCCTGGTACAGGCAAGAACAGAATACTCCATTGTGCTACTGGGAGCTGGTAGGATCCAACCAACACATCCAAGAGCTGCATCCTGTTGCCAGCTGCTGATGTGCAGAGCAGCATCTTCACTCGTGCTGCTGAGATACTAAGCCTCACAGTCACTGCTCCTCTGGCTGAAGGTCAGCGGGAGAGAGCCTTGGACAGCCCATGCTGACGGCTGGCAAGAGCTGCTCTGCTCCAGCTGGAAACACAGCTAGTGGGAACATGACCCAGGCAGGCCAGGACAGTGACACAACTGCACCCACAAGGCACCTCCTCATCCATTAGTGCACACTGGACACGCAGTTTCTGCCTCAGCAGCAGGCACTGCACCCTGGCCACCTGCTTCCAGGGTCTTCCAGGGGGATGGGAACAAGCATCCAAATGCTGGCATGATGTGTGAGACCTGAGTAGCTTCAGCCCACCACGTAAGCAGGATGCAGTCGAATCAAGCACATGTGTCTCCCCAGGCAGCTCTAGCAAGAGAGCTGGAATATCAGCCCATTGTCCACACTAGGTTGAGGAACACACAGGAGAAGACAGGCACTGATCCATCCTCTTGCTTCGGAATGTTTAGACAGGCATCCTTCCATCAATCCAATGCCTTGTATCCCTACAGCTCATGGAGACACACTCCCCTCACAGACTGGATCAAATAAGCATTTCCCTTCTTCCTAGAGTGAAAACAAGTTGTGCTGCTTTCCTTTGGATTAAGCCAGCCAGGGAGAGTCACTGCTGGCTACAGGTCTCTTCTGTGGCATCTCAGTCCAGTTCACCCTCCATTTAGTGAGGATGGCTGCTCAGCAGGTATTTGGTGGAGCTCAGAACATCTTCTGCCTGCTTTTCCCTGGCTAGGAGGGAACTGCCTAGGGCTTGGGGCTGCTTGGCCAGCTATGTCACCACTAAGTCACCTGACTTTAGGAAGCCGCTACAACCATGAAGGCCTCGAGGCTTCACACCTCTGGGAAGCATGGAGCTTGCCCAGAAAAAATAAATCCTGCTAAGTCCCTACACAACCACCCAAATAAAGAGGCAACAAGTTATTAAGGACAGAAAATCCATTACTGTCTCCATCCATCCCAGGCAGCATCTGTCAGAGCTTAGCTGCAGAGAAAGGGGTTTTGGTACCAACCTCCTGCACCACCAACCCCTACAATCCAGGACTGCTCCTTCCAACTACCACTCACTTGGACAAGTTCCAGCATCAGAGATGCACCTCTGCTATCTCCTCAAAGTCTCCAGACAAAGCAGCAGCAACGTGGATGCCCTGAGGGCACCCTATCCCCTAAAAGGATTGGCATCTCAAAGCTTTCAAGCCATGACCTGGTGCCCTGCCTTGCAAGGGCCTACTTGGGCTCTGGGTATCCAACATGTCAGCACCATGTGGCCACCATCAGCAGATCTGCTCATGCTCTTACGAGTCCTGCGCCCAGCCCATGCTTCCCAGGGCAGGTCATGCCCAGAGCAGAGTACTGCCACAGCTGGACGCATCTCTTTGCGGAAGAGCTCCAGGAACATGGTGGCTTCTTTCCCCAAAATCACTTCTCCAGAGAGGAAAAAAGTCTGCTCAGAACCACTGCAAGGAGAACCGAGCCAGGACTTGACTCCTTCAGTCAAACATCAACCATCTATCTCCCTGCCAACCAGTTCAGCTTCCCTCTTCCCAAGTTCCCAGTCTCCTAAGCCACTCCCCTCTCTCCCAGGCTGCCGACTCCCTCCATTACAGCTCACATGACCTGTGTCCTGCCTGTGATTTCAGGTTGCAAGAGAGAAGCCAAGCTCCAGGTAGGAACTGGCTTCATTTCCAGTAACTGGAGAGGAAAGATGTGAGATTAGACCCATGATAAAGGGCAGGGTCTGTCCCGGTATGCGATTCTGGAACAAAGTGACCGGCAAGTGCTGTTGTCTAAGGTGCCCACTAAAATTTAGTTGTGTGCTATCACTATCACGTCACTCACCTCCCCCACCGTGTGCCAGGAGTGAGGTCAAAGTGTATTTCTGGTTGCCCTCAAAGGGTCAAGGTTGGGGAGAAACCAGGTTTCTTTCACGCCAAGTGGCAGGGTGGTCTCTGCCCCGGCTCAACCGGGCTGCTCCCCTCTGACCGGCAGGGCCTGGCTGAGCCTGGCTCAGCTGGGAGGAGCTGATGTAAGATGGTGCCATGCTGTGTGCGCCATGTCATGTGCTGCCAAGTTGGAGATGTGGGTTAGAAAGAAGGCCTGGTATCTCATTCCTCAGGCTCTGGTGGGTGGGTAGCGTGAGGCCCATGCACTGGGTTGCCAAGGAGATACGGGCTACAGAGATGGGCAGAAGCTTGCAAATCCCATGGTGCACCTTGGAGGAGAGATGGTTACCTTACCAGTCTTTCCAGATGTGGCTGCCATCATGCTTAACACTTCTAGGAATGGAGCTGTGGTACAGCCACTCCACTAGCTGCAATAAGGCATCACTAGGGCGTCCCATGTCCAGGGACAGCTCTGAGCTTCGGGGCTAGCCTGCGCTGGCATCATGGCTGGAGTTCACTAGGGACATCAAAGGAGGGATTTGAGAGAAGGTGGGAGGGAGGGAAGGCAGATGGGACAATCTTAAAGTCAACAGAGTCCCCAGCGGGGCAGGGTCAGGCTGCAGTCACAGCTACAGCTGCTTGGTGCCCGCCAGGATTGTCACCATGGCATGGCAGTGCCAGAAGCAGCAGCTATTAGTCTCATCTGGGAGTGGTTTACCAAGGGTTTCCAAGGCCAGGCCAGCCTCACACCACCTCCTGCCCCTCATCTCTCCTTCTAGTCCTCTGGCCAGCCCTTCAGGAGGCCAAGGGCAGCCACTTCCTCTCCCTCTCACTAGACTTGGTGCTGCAAGAGGACAAGCCCTTCAGGTTTAAATCTCTTGCAACAAGATCTCTGTTTAGCTATAGCCTCCAACTGCTTTCCTGCCTTAGGGTTGATTGCTGTGGAGCTGCTACAGCTCCACCATCCCCATGAACGTCCTCCAGCCAACACCAGGCTCAGAAGGAAGAACTGTGCCTGTTCTGGGGAACAACCCGTGAACCCACCACATGCACAAGCCAACTCCTACAGTGAGGGCAGAGAATCAGCACACTGGGACTGAGGGCAAATGTTTTAGCCCAGTCTGTGAGCAAAAGTCACCTCCCTAACTTACTGCACTCCAGCTCAGCTCTGCAAGAGAGAGGGCTCCAGCCTGGAGACTGAGTAGCCCACAGCTGCCAGCCCAAGTAATGTTTAACCACGTAAAACTTTATTGGTAACATATACTGTGCCAGAATGTGCTCCTGCGAGGTCACTGCTGGCTCAGCACAGTGAGGAGCAGTTGTGGCTGGCAGCATCTGGGGAAGAGAGCTGGGTCTAGCCATGGCCTGAAGGGTCTGCACTGGCTCCCTAAGGGAGCCATCACCACCCATGGACCCCCTTGGGCAGGGAGAGCTCTACCTACACAGGGGGCTTCTTGGAGTCTCAGGGTCTTACAGTCAGGCCAGAAGATCTCTTTCAAAACTAGTAACTTGCCAACTGGAGGGAAGACACTTAGACCCCAGAGGGTAAAGATCTGGCTGAAGGCCTCCTTGATAATTTTGCTCTTGCTTTCTCCCTCACCATGCACCATAAAGTTTTGGTGTCCAACCCTCACGCTCAGGGTCCCCATACAGTCACCAATGACCATCTTTGAAGGAACAGCAGTAAATGTTTCACCTCCCTCAACCAGGCTGGAGGGATGGTTTGTTTTTTATTGGTCCTCCCTTCCAGGCACAATTCAACTTTGGCTCCACCACTCTAAACACAAGGGGCAAGAAGACACCTGCTCTCCTGGGCCAGTGAGGAGCACAATACACCCTTCTAGTTGTAGGCACTACCAATAACTTTTGGAAAACACCAGCAAGCACAAGCCTCCCAGGGAAGGACTAGCCCGGCTCTGGAGGTCCTTGGAAAAACATCCCAGTCCCTGGTCCAGCCCTAAGCCCCATATAATTCTTGCCTACCCCACAGGAACTTCAGCACAACACCAGCTCACCTGTAGAAGGGCAGAAGCAGGAGAGTTCTGCAGGTGTGAGAGGGGCAGGACAGAGGCCAGGAGTTTGCATCCCCTCCATGTGCCATTTGGGAAGCAAGCTTGGGTTGAAGCTGGGCAGTTACCATCACAAAGCTTGCTAGAAGCACAAGGACACCAAAGGGCCAACAGAGCTAACTGCCAGCCAGGAGGACAAGGTGAGTGGACACAGCTTCTCTTCCTCTCCATTTAAGCAGGGAAGAGCAGAGGCACATGTCCTGCTTGGCAGGGCAGAGCTGAGAGGTTAAGCCCTGATGGTCAGTCCCACTGTCCCAGTCCCCCACGGCACCACTATGGGAACAGAGACAGAAGCAGGCAGAGCACAACTGGCTGGGAACACTGAGCAGGGCAGGAACAGGGGCTCCAGCTTCTCCTGAGAAGTGCTTCAAGTCAAGCAACTAAACCTGGAATTGGGACACTGTTTCTGTCTTGGCTTTCCCTTTGCATTCTCTGGTTTCAGGGACTTTGTGTTGGTCTCTGTACTTTAAAGCATCCCAGTTTCAGACCAGTGCAGGCATCCCTACATCCCCAGCTGTCAGCAAGTAAACCCTGGGACACCCAGGCAGCTGATGGCAGCTAACAGGCTGTCCCATCAGAATTCCTCACTGTGGCAAGGCTCTGGTCACTCATCTCCCACAGGACACCCTCCTCCAGCTTTGAAAGTGTTTGAGTCACTTGGGTCACAGTTGAGCCCCTCAGCTTTAGCACCAAGCTGAGCCTGTTGCCATTGCTGTGACTTCAGGGAGGACCTTTCATAGCTATTTTACTTGCTGACAGGTAGCATATCCTCCCAGCAGTCCCTCAACATGGTTCTTTGGCCACGGGGACCAACAGAGCCAGCCAGACATCAAGTCCTGGCTTCCTCCCACCTGCCTGCCCCTCACAGGGAAGCAGGCTGGACCTGCAAGCTCAGGAATCATGGCCCAGCTCTACCTGCTCTCAGCCACACAGACCCCTTCCCCTGAAGCTGGCTTGGGGATGGGCCCCCCACGCCCACAGTCAGGGGCAGGCTCTGTCCAGGAGCCAAAGGTGCAGAGGCCAGGGTTGAACTGGCAAGCAGAGACCGCAGGAATGCGCACCAGGGCAGGGAGAGAGGAGGGCCTGGATCCTGGCACGGGAGGTGGGGAGCAACTCACCTGAGCGTGAAGAGCAGCGGCCGCAGCAGCGGCCGCTGGGTACGTGAAGGCGGCGTGGGGGATGGCAGGGGTGAGCTCCGTGGTGTACAGGGGGTAGGGAGCCCACGCCTCGGGAGACGCTGGGATCAGAGCTGCTCCAGTCAGGTCATCTGTGCAGGAGACAAGTAGACAGACCTCAGTACCTGACCCCAAAGGCCTGCTCTGGGGACAGGCTCTGGATTTCCCTCCCCAGGCTAAAGCTTTGTGCTGCCATCCCAGTAAGGTACAAAATCTGCGTGCCCAGCTGTTCCTCTGACCTCCCAGCTTTGCCAAAAAAGGTCATGAACAGGCTCCACAGAGGCTCTGGACAGGCTGGTTCACAAATGCGGCACAGGGCTGGTGCCACAGGACAGAAGATGGGGACTCTCAGATAGGACATCACTTGTCACCCAATGATCCTCAGTGGGGCTGCTCACCCCACTACGCCACATCGAGGGTGATGGCACAGCACTCATCCTTTATGCTTCACACCCAGGGATGTTTCACAACTAGGGACGGTTTAAAGGATTTATGGTATTACTTGAACTACCAAAACCAACTCTGCTCTCTCAACAGTCCTAATATTGGCCTCAGCAGATGTCTGTTATTCCCCTGCAACTCCAACCTCTCTGCACCAGGCAGGTTTCAGTCAAAGCGGATGTGGATCTGGGTTCCTTTCACCCTGACAGCATTCCCAGGGTTGGGCATCTCCCAGGCAGGACCAGTGATGATCTCCCAACCCTTCCCAGCATACTCACAGGGGTCCCGTGCAATGAAGTGTGCACCCAAGGCAGGGTGGATATTGGTGGGGTTTGGTGTGGCCATCAGCTTGCTCTTGGCCATCTTTGTGTTGGCTTTAGCAAACTCTAACCGCAAAGTCTGGGGGTTCTCAGGGTCGAAGCGGATGCCCTGTCACAGGAGAAAGCACAGGAGTCCCTCAGAGGTGAAGCTTCCAATTCAAGCACAGACTTTCCCCCTGAACCAGGGAACTAAGGCCACCATGCTGCAGTCACATGCCCAGATTTTCGTCATCTCACTGCAACACCCAAGCTCCCACGTGCTTTTATTTTTATGTTTAGTTGGCCCAGGCAGGACCACTGCTTCCAACACAAGAGACATAGTTCTGCTCCTGAGGTGCAGTTCACTCGCTAACCACTGTGGCTGCCGACATTGGACAGGAAAGATCTGTCTGCTGGTTCTGAGATAACCCTGTCTGTACTCGAGTTGGTATAACCCCCATCTATGTGGGAGTTCCCCTCTATGGTGCCACTACATCTTCTGCCAGCCGGAGCACAGGCACTTACAGGTGTATCAAAGCCCAAGGCAAGGTCTATACCAGAGCAGAACCATGTCCTGCTGACTAGATCCCACCAAATCCTGCAGGCCCAAATGGGATACGGATTATTTTGTCCCATGTTGACCATCCTCAAGACTTTCTTGAGCAACAGCAGTTCCCCACACCCTCAGAGGCTCCAGAGCTGTCTTCTAGCAGTCAGAAATGACATGGACACAGCTTGCATCCATTTGCTTAGGTTGATGTCAGCCTTAAGCAGCTCTGCAGCTTCCCTGATAGGATGCTGCAGGACTGTTTTGCTTCCATACTCAAAGGCACAGCTGGGAGACCCTCCTGTCCTACCCTATGGCCAAGCCAAACCCACATCTCCAGGTCTAGCTACAGCAGGGCACATGGCCCCCGAGCCCCCACAGTCCCCCAGCACTTCAGGGACTCACATTCAAGGCGTTCTTCGCTGCTTCAGCACCAGCCCGGCTGTCAAAGGTCACAAAACCAACTGGCTAAAAGAAATAACAACAATTTCAGCTTCGAAGCCTCTTGCAACTTCTCAGACTACCCTCCACCTGCCTCTACCCCAGACAGCAAGCAGAAGAGACCATCCAAAGCTGCAGAGGGACTTCAGGCAGAGCTTGAAGGGTCTTGGTCATCAGCCTAAGATTCCTGCTTTGTGCCTTCTCCCAGCACACCAAAACACTTGGGCATCCCCACATGTGGGGACACCACTCACTCCAATAGCCCCCAACTAGGGGGCCTACTGCCTTGGTCAGAATGGGAGTAAGGAAGATTGATGGCAGCACAGGGTTTGAGGCTGAAGCCTCAGGTCTGACCCAGGGCAGCAAGAGAAGACAAGTTTATGATTGGGACCACCGGGACAGTGGGGGCAGCAGAACCCAGCTGTATATGTGGTGCTGATCCCAGACAGTGCTTGAAAATGAAGTGGGATCCCCCCTCCCCTCCCATCACATCTGGTTTTCTAGCAGAAGCCAAAAATACCCAGGCTGGAAGAAGGAGGTACCTGCTTTGAAGTCAGCTTGATCAGTGACCCTTCATAACCCTGCAGGAGGGAAGAAAGCAAGTCAGTGTCAGGCTCCTGAAGGAGCCAAGCTACAACTGAGACACGACGCGACAGCCCCAGGAGTTCCTGTAGCACCAAGGCCTCCATAAGGCAGCAGGAGCAGTGACAGTAACACTTCTTTCCCACCAAAGAAGACTGAGGGCAGAGCAGGTATCTTAGCTATTCCATCCTGGCCCTTTGGGAAGAAATCCCATTTTCTAGCACTCCTTCCAGCTATGAAGAGGAGCACCCTGCCCTGGCTAGTGCCTGGAGAGCACAGGCCACCCACCCTGTGCTAGAGGAGCGCAGACAAGGGAACCCCACTACCCCCAGGGACAGCCCAGGTGGTGATTAGAGAGGTATAGAGAGTTTAAGGGATCAGGATACGTCCCCAAGGGAGGGCTGGTCCAAGAAGATTTCATCAAGCTTAGAGACAGCATGATTCCAATATCAGGCTCCCAGCAAGGTTCTCCATCTGAGCACGAGCATCGGACACTATGTTGGCTTCAGGTTCCCCAAGCTTGCACAAGCACCACCCTCCCACATCATGCTCCCTTCCCCCGACAGACCTTTGCTGCCAGGTCATCCACAAAACAGCATCTTTCACACCAAAAATCAGATTTGAAGACCTTCTTACCTTGAATGGTCGGAAGAGTAGGTAGAGCTCTCTGGGCTTGATATCCACAGGAAGGCCACTGACAAACAGCGTCCGTACCTAGGAGAGAGGCCAACGAGCTCTACTGAAAGGAGATGCTCAGTGCCAAGGTGGGAGCACAGAATACAGCTCAGAAGCCACATGCAGCAAGAGTAGGACACCTTGGACCAAAGGTCCACTAACCCTTCCCTGCATTAGAGGAACATTGTCCAGGATAAAATAGACCCAGCACTTCCATTTCTGCCACAAAGGATTGAGACCTTTACAAAAATCCAGTGCCTAGCAGAAAAGCCTGGGTTGATCAGGACATGATCACCAGCCCACACCCTTGATGGCTAAACAGGAAAAGACCATACATTCCACAAGAACTAACAGTTTGACACATCCCAAAGGTCCAGAAGAAATCAGTACAAGACCCAGTTGACTCTTCAGCTCTTTCTAAAGATCATACACTAGATCTCCTCCCCTAAGCTTATCCTGGCACTTTACTCCAGTCACCAATTCAAAGACAGCCCTCAATTTTGAGAAACACTTCACTACTCCTCTCACATCTTTTGACACCTGCAACAGCCCTACAACATCACTGGAGGAAGATTTTTGGGTCCCATCCCAGCTCCTTCCCCAACATGTTATCAGACCCTTCAGAAATCTCTCCCAAAGCCACTCTCACAGTGTTTGTTTTACTGTGCCTTGCCAACAGCAGCCCTGCTGTACCAAGGCCCCGAAGGCTGTTGCTCTTCCCAGGCTATAGAAGTCATGGACCAAGTCCAAACACGCTCATGTGTAAGCAAAAAACACAGTGCCAGAGGAGGCTTTCAATAGATAATCCATTAAAATCATAGAGAATAGTTCACTTGAATAGCTGGGAAGAAGAGTGCTGAAGGCTCGTGGCCTGGGAGAACTCTGCTCAACAGTCAGACCATTGTGGCCACTTTTTCCCTGCACACTGGCTGGCAGAGTGTTTCCATAGAAAGCATCATGATGAAGCTACAGACTTCTTGTAAATCAGCAAAGAGCTGGAAGGGGAAGTTATGCACAATGAGGGTCATGAAGACACTCGTCATTATTAACAAGGAGCAGGAGTCTGAAGCCAGAGCCCATCTCCTGGCCTGCTTCCAGTCTGGAGTGACCCCATTACATTTGCAGGGCAGAAGGACCCTGCTCCCACATTTTTGGTTTTGCTCAGCCGTTTCCCCTTCTCTAGGGAAAGAGGTTGTATCCGAAACTTCTTTTGCCATCCAACTGAGCAGCACACACTTGCCCTGCTTCTGGGCTGGAGAAAGTGACCACGTGAAAACATGTGAGCCTCTGTGCTCTGTAATTCCTTGGGGACAGCTAGATGACAATTTCTCTATGCAGGGAAGTTTCTTCTATTTGCAGAAGAAAACTCATCTCCTTGACCTCCGGTGTCCAGGACAGTCCTGTTAAGGCAGAGGAATACCCCTCACATCAACTCAGGAGGCAGCTGAAGCTCCCCAGGATGGACAGTGATTGTGAAAGGCTGGAGTGCTCGAGATCTCTTGAGCATGTTGAGACTGAGGGCTGCCATGACACCCCACCAGTGTGGGGAGCCCTTCTCCAGCCCAGCACATCTCAAGACTGCAGAATGTAACCACTGAGCATCCTTCCCATCCTCTCCCTCTAAACATGGATGGGCCTACCACACACCACTAGGCTCAGTCCAACAGACTCCCCACTCATGGAGCCTTCATTTGATGCCTCAGTGCATCACTCCAGAGGCACCCCATGCGAAGGCAAGAGGGGGCAATGTCACTGTTTCTGTTTCCTGGATGCCTTAAAGATTCCAGCGCTTGCGCTCTGGCATGAGCCTCACAGAGCCCCTGCAGTGCATTCCCAGAAGACACACAGCCATCTCTTGCAGGGGAGGACTGCAGAGTGTGGTGGCACACATGTGCCTCAGCCATGTGAAAGCTCCATCTCTTTTCAATATTTCAGGATCTCAGTGTGCTAAGCCCCCAGAATGGATATTTATTCCGAGCAGATAGAAATCTGCATCCCTGTTGGGTCTCTAAATGGCCCCGTGATACGTTGCTCACTAAGTCCTTGCGACGGGCATGACAGGATAGAAGTTGCGCAGTGGCTCAGGGAAGGGGAAGTTGGCACTTGGAGCCCTTACAACGGCCTGAACAGAGCAAGGCAGGTGCCCAGGAAAGCTCTTTGTCAGGGGCAATAAGCTCCCAGTACCAACAAGCTCCCAACACAAGTTGCTGCCAAGGATGGGAGCAAGAAACCTTCTTTCGTAGGCCCAAAGATTCCCTTGGCCTCCAAGTCCTGTCTGTCACCATCCACGGCATTGGAAAGGGGGGGTCCCACAGCCAAGCCACAGCACCCACCAAGTGTTGGCATCACTCCAAAGCCTAGGAAATCCCAAATGTCACCAGCCAACCTCTTCAAAAAGGGCATCCCCAAAACAAACTAAGGAAGAAGTCCCTGCTCAGAAGAGCTTGTTAGAAGCAACAAGACCAAGAGGTTGGTTTTTCAAGACCTCTGCAATTCAGCACATCCTAAAGTGATCAAGAGAAGAGTAAGGGGAAAGAAAGACTAAGTTATTCAGGGAAGGGAGGGTGAGGCTGATGAGAGTCCTGAGCAATATATTAAATGGATAGAGTGAGGTAAGCCAGAGGTAGCTCACTTCCAACACCAGGCATAAAGCAAAGGCGATCTGGATTATCCCACAGAAGAAAAGCAGGAGGCAGCTCAGCAGTCTGTGCAGCCTCTTGTGCACCAAGAGCAACCTTGGTCCAGCCTCCTTCCCTGCTCTCAAAGAGAGCAAACTGTAAAGGAGGGCAACAGGATCTGAACAAGCATCTTCCAGTGGATTAATCAAACTGGAACTCTCCAGTCAGCCCTTTGCAGACCAAGTCCTGCAGGCTTTGAGAGGCCAGTAGGAACACCCTGGACCGACAAATCCAGGCACCCAGGCCTCACACTCAACATGCCGTGACAGGGTGGCTTCTGCTAAAATATATTTGCCCTGCTTCAACTCCCTGCTGCTAAACACCAGATCTATGTAGATCGTCAATTCTCCCCACAGCTGGAATCTCTGCACAGCTGGAACAGCCACAGGACAGAAAAAAAAACACCCACCAAAAATATCCATCCAGGGCTGGGTCAGGAACTGCCTGAGCCAAGCTGCACATCCAGACATCCAGCAGGAGCAGATCCCCAAGAATACCATGTTCTAAGCTGCTCTTGGGCTCTGCTGTCAGCCACTCAAAATATCAGGTGAGACCAACCCCATTCCACCCAGGGCTGATCTGAACTGGACACACAGGCACAGAGGGAAGCAGGGCAGGGAGTAGCTCTTGCCTAGGACAGCCCAGCAGAGTCACACTGCTGCAGGCCCTGCAGAAAACACTCTCCCTTCCCCATCCCTGCCCCTCTGGGGATGCCCCCAGTCCAAACACCTGGCAGAGATGAAGGAAAGCCATGGAAAACAGGATTCGTGCCAGGAGGGACAAGACCATCTAGGCTATCTCTTAAAGAGGGAGGATCCCAGCACAGCTTCCCACGCAGGAGGAGGAAGGGACAAGGACAAACCCATTTAGCCCTCAGTTCTCAGTGTCAGTTCTTGCACTGCTGTGTCTCCCCAAAGAGACACACACCTTGTGCCAGCACAGCCAGGAGCTTCACACCAAGCCTTCAAAGGAGCCAGGCAGCAGCACCTGCCTCGTCCTGCCACAGCTCCAGTGCCACCAGAGGGTCAGCATGGCTCTTACAGCATCCACAGCTCCTGGCCATGGCTGCTTTTAAATAACAGCTGTCGAAAGGGAGCCCTAAGCAGAGCCAGAGGCTGCCTGACCCAACAAGGGTCAAGTTATGTCAGAAGTGCCCAGTGTAAGGGCACAGGTACCCATCCCCCACAAGGTTGCTGCAGGTGGTGGGTTTTTGTTGCGAGATGCTCTGATTCCTCCCCTGGGAACCACTAAGGTTGACCCTCCCCTTCTGTGAGTTCAGCCCTTCAGCAACATCACTCACAGCACAGCTGGGGCCACTCCAGCCCCTCAAAACTAGCCGGGTCTTGGATTCACACTCCAGCAGCACCTGGAGCACACAAGCCTTTCCCAGTAGTGATTCGAGACACCTGAGGACAGGTACAGCAGGAATGGGCCCTAGTGCCTCCTCCAACACTGTTCCACTGGACATCCCCCTCCCAAGGAAGCCATCCCAACTGCATGCCAGTTTTTCGTGGAGACAAGCTATCTCCCACTCGTTCTCACAAGGCCCATTGAACCTTCTTCCTACACCACCAGCCCCGTGCTGTCCTGCTGAGGACAGGGACAAGCTCCACAGCAGCATCCTAAAGGCACTCCCCATTCCTGGCAGCCAGGACATGTCCCAGCTCAGGGACATAAGACTCCAGCTTTTCCCAAAGGATAGCATCGCAGCGGGGTGCCTCTAGGCACCCGGGGCCAATGGCAGAGCCGCAGGGGCACACGGAGCCCCGGTCCCCGCCACGGCGATGCAGCCAGGGCCACTTGACACGAGGCCACTGGAATGCGGCGAGGCTGCGGCTGCCCCGGGAGCCGGGACTTATAAGGCACGGGAGCGAAATCGGGGAGGCGAGCTTGCACAACAGGGCTGCCGGGAGGGGAACGCGGGAGTGTCCAGCGGCGGGGCTGTAAAATGGGACAGCACCCTCCTCTCAGTGCAGGTCCTGCTACTGCACGGGGAGACCCAGTACGGGGCGGTTTTGCTCCTCAGGGCATCTAAGTCCCGGGAATCACAGGGGAGGGGAAAAGTGGGGAAGAGAGATGGTGATCTGTGCAAGGGATAGCTCGGCAGGACAGCTGAGCAGCCTCTACACCATGAGGCAAGACACCGATAGAAGGGGCTTGTAATAGGCTCCTTCCCCACTCTGTGTCTCAGTTTCCCCTCCCCTCATCAGCAGAGAGGTGGTAAGAGCTGACCGCTTTCTGCCATTCCAGCCCTGGCAGAGCCCCGATGTCGTCAGGCAGGGCTGCACTGAGCCCTAGTGCAGGATCAGGCCAGATGCTGCTCCAGCCAGGAAGCCCCATGCAGGCACAGAGCTTCCCCTT